CTCATTCAGGTATGGCTCCTCATCTCCTGACAAACATTTGTTTCGTGGGACTTCGCATGTAGCATGAAATTCTCTGGTAGATGAGACTCCAGACTTAGTGAGAAAGCAGCATCTGATAAGGGCTTAAAGAGTAGTGATCAGAATTATTTAGCTACTTTCAAGAATTATAGTGATGACTTATGAGTTTGGACACCAAAAGGAGTCTCGATTGAGACTGCTGGACGGACTTTAAGTCGGAATATTTCTGCAGATGCTGATATATTTGTGTTCAGCGACGCAGATAATGAGGAAAGACTAAGTGATATGCTATCTGATAGTGGTCTTTCTGTGGGCACAGAAACTGATGAATGTGCTGAAAGCGCCAATCCTTTCCCTGAAGGATACAAACGACCAGAGAACACAAATAAGTAAGTAAACATCATCTCGGCATGCTTGTGATTTCTACAGAACGTTGATTTCTTTATTGAACGTAAGAGAATAAAGATCCTACAACTTTATTCTTATTTATTCAAGTAAATCCAGGTACCCTGATTGGCTAATGTAGAAATTTATATAGACACTAAACTGTTATCTTTGATGTTATTTACTACATGGAAAGGGTAAAACAAGTAGGTCAAGGATTCATATAGGGACTTAACTTTCATCTGAAATGTTGTTATTTAACTCATTACATGGGAAAAAGTAAAGAGAATTGATCAATAATTTAAACAATACTTATTGGTTATGATGAAACTAAAAGATCCAGGAAGTTCGTAGACTTAACATCAGTCCTCTGAGTTAAGGTATTCCAACTTCCGGACCAAGAGTATTGAACTAGTGGTTTTTTGCTGCTTAATTCAACCTAATTGCTTGACTATCATCCTACACGGCCTTTTGCAGACACAAAACTGCACATAAGACTCCTAGACCTCCACAAAAATCAGAGAGGGATTCTCCAAAAGCCTCAAACGGTATGTTGATTAAGCATGACATGTTCAAAGACTTACCCCTCGGCTAAAGTTTAGTATAGTGTAATTGGAACTTCTTCAATATGTTTCAGGTCTACGGAAGTCAATCAGTGCAGCCAATATGTTGGCTAAATCTACCAAAGGTGGCAGTAGGTGGCAGTAATATGATGTAGCAGTTGTGCTAATCAAATTTCCTTCTTTCTTGTGCAGCCCGTTAATCGGCTTTTGCACTTTGATGAAGTTATCCCTACACTTCTCAACTGTACAGATTCTTTTTATTAACCAGGGAGTCCCTCTTAGAGTCTAGGACTATACATGACCTTCGCAATTTTTCTTCTCTTTTATATAAAAATGCAGGGGGGAGAACCGACTTGTGATGTACTAAATTTTTTTTCCATAGGTTCAGTGAGTAAAGCTTGTATAAAGCCTGTTGAGTTGTAACATACAAGAGTTGGTTTTATCAGCAATTTATCTTCCTGTTACTCTTACTTTGCATATACTTCAACATCTTGTTTTGATGGAGATACCTCTCGCAGCCTTTCGAGTCACTGCTTCTCGAATATTAAGGTCATCAAAGAGACATGAATTGCAATTCAGTTTGAAACTTGAAAGGATTATCTTAGTTTGAAAGAATTCACATGTCACCAAAGCCTTGTCCAAAAAGCAACTCATGAAAATATTATTCCATTAATGGCAGAACAACTGAACATACAGAATCAAAGAGGCTATCTTTCCTTGAGATAGAAAATAACTCAGAGAAAAGAAGTGAATGAGGTATATGTGAGAGCATTAAGGCATAGAACTACATTCTTTGTCTGTACACACTTAACCGTTCTCGCTCATTCTTTCAACATTTTCAATGAAGATAATCTATAGGCAAAAGTCCTATCTGGCGAATTGATAATTCAACTTTTACTTTGTTGTACCAAAGTTGCCAAAAATATTTTTTGCTAACAAAGATGTGTATTTTACTATTTTCATAGTAAAAGCAAAAATCAGTACCACTTGGCATACATCCGTTGCTTTATTAATGATTTTTGCATAAGCTTCACCACCTAATTCTACATTCAATTTAAAGCAAAAATCATCGATTTGGTGTGGACTGGATTTAATCCACCAATCCCTTACCAAAAAGAGATTTTTAGAAGCAAGCAAAAAAACCAAAAGAAAAAAAAAGTAACTTTTATTTGTTGTAACTAAGGGATTATTAGAAGCTAGCAAAAACAACCAAAAGAATAAAAAAATAACTTTTATTTGTTGTAACTAAAGATACTAGAAAGGAGAAGAGTGGGTCCAATCATTATTATTTGAAATTCGTAATGTTTATTGAGGAACTTTTATATATAATTACTTAAAAGTAGCCTAATTTTTTTCCATAGCTGTAGTTTGATAACTAAAATTCATAGCTACATGTTATAGGGAGGAGAGAGGCGAGCGAGACTGGGAGAGAGAGGAGAGAGGCAAAGAGTGGGAGAGGTGAATTTTATGTGTATATCGGTTATTATTATATAGTACACATATGTATTTGTATATATGACAAGCTAGATTGGGAGAGGGAGGAGAGAGGCGACCAAGATTCGGAGAGGGAGGAGAGAGGCGACCGAGATTGGGAGAGGGAGGAGAGAGGAGACCGATATTGGGAGAGGGAAGAGAGAGGCGAGGGGATTGGGAGAGTGTGAGAGAGTGAATTGTATATGTATATTGATTAAACAATCGCATATTATGCATTTATATATATGGCAAGCGAGATAGGGAGAGGGAGGAGAGAGGCGACCAAGATTGGGAGAGGGAAGAGAGAGGCGATCGAAAAAGGACAAGAGTGGGATAGAGCTGAATTCTATATGTATATTGATTAAATAATCGTACACTATACATATTAAATGGACTCCATATTATTTAATGGAATGAAAGAAGAGACAACATATAATAGGTTTTCTTCTATTTTTTAATTGGATTAAAAATTAGCCATATGCAGCTTTTTAAAAAAAAGTAGAGACAACAATAAAAATAAGTAGGCAGCACAAGCAGACATGTTAACGATTTGCTACCTGCTATTCTCCTTTCTTATATAAGTAATTTATATATTAGTTATATAATAATATTTAAAATCTTCGATTATTCTATTATATAACATATTACAACGGCATAGAAGTTGTGTTATAGTCAAATACCTAAAAAAAAATATTTAAAATAAAGTATACTAGAGAATATACATAATACATAAGACTCAAAAAGCTAACAATCTGGCTGAAAACATTAAATATCTATAAATTTTAAATTTAGAACTCCATACACTTAAAAATCATCATTTTAAAATATAGAACCTATAAAATAAAACTTTGACTTCATCTTTGGGTTTAACTGTTTGCAATTCCTTCAGACTTTGAGTTTCTATAGTCGTCAGTGGCGGGTCAACTTAATTAGTGACTTAAAAGATAAAAATAAGTCGAAAGCCTAGCTTTTATTTTTTTAATTCCAAAGTTATTTCTCATTTTTTAATGAAAAGTTTATATTTTTTCAATGGTCTTAAACTCTCTATATAAATCAAAATATTTTCTAATCTTATGGTCTTAAATATGTCATGTGGATTTTAAATTTAAAAATTGACAAAAAAGAAAAAAACATTCTTTAATATTTGAAAACAAACAAAAAGAAAGACATAAATATTTTTTTTTAAAAACAATACTTATAATAATTCTATTATTACTTTTAAAAAAAGGTCTAAGACGAATGACTCATTTTTAAAGACAGTGAGCCGCCCCTACATATAGGGACTAGAGACTGTTAGAGCTAGTTTGGATTTGAATTAAGTCAAAATTCATACGGTTGAATTCTTAACCTATGATGTTTGATTTATTTTTATCATTTTAACTTGAAATCAAGTGCTTATGAACACATTTTTAATATATTTGAACACTCCAAAAGTGCTAAAAGCTATTTTAGCTTGTTAACACGTCATTGTTGAAATTTTGTTATTTTTAAGTTAATATTTGGAGGACAAAAAAAACTGAAAAATAAAATTAAAAAAAATCAGTCCATGTAGAGTATGTATAAACAATACTCAAAAAAGTGAAAAAGCAAAGCAGGCTCGAATCTGCCATATCCACCAAAAAGATACTTGTAAACAAAGGTTAAAACATAATGGGGGACCAAAATATTAAAGTCTGAGATTATCATTCACAAGTTGTATTGGTTCTCCATGTTGTATAAACATGGGGGCCATCGTGACAACGATAAGACTTGTACCTAAGTTAAGAGCATCTTCTTTTTTTTAAAGAAAAATATAAATAATGATCCACAATCACAAAGAACCAAACAGATTAACAGATTCACGTCATTGTGTACACAATATGCAGGCAAAGGTATCGTAAAAGTAGATTAAAAAAAAAATATAATCGAGCTGCACACAAATTTGAGGGGTTTAAAAAAAGCTAATGACTAATAGTCAAGAAAGAGATGGGCAGCCCATTATAACAGAGCCAGCCTAGCCTAAAGACAAACTAGTCAGCGATCAAACTTTTCTTTAAATGAAGACGACAACTTGCTAACTCACGCCTCTAATTTTCTTCCTTAATCTCAGGGAGGTGATTAATTTAGACAAACTCAACCAACTACATCAAATAATCATATATTATTTATTATACAAAAACAAATCAATCCACGTAATCTCCAATGTTTTCCCATCACAAAATATTCCCTTCCAATCTATTTTTTAATAGCAAAGGAATCATGGCATACACTATAGAAAAATTGAAAATCTGTGAACAGAATCACATAGTAGTGGCGATAATCATGCTACTGAACGTTGAATAATTACAACATGATTCATTATCAATGTTGAAAATACTCACTAACACATGCTTAGCTCCATCTGTACTGCACTTTGATTAACAAAGCAAGTAGCACGCCAACAACAACAATTCCACGAGTGGAGTCTGGGGAGGGTCTTACCATTACCTCGTGGAGGTAGAGAGACTGTTTCAGGATGACGTAAAAGTAGTAGCAAGCCAAGAATAGAAAAAGTAGTACTTGGTAAAGTAAAAGACAAATGAATTTGTAAGAACTAAGAAGACCATCTTTTCCCATTCAGATTAATATTACAATGAAGGAAGAAACTCCTCCCTCTTTGAGTCTTCATGCTACAATAAGTACTTTCAACTCATATCATGTTCTAAATGCTATAAAGGAAACCTAGTCACTCCCAAAGTCTTACCTCTTTCTTTGGGGCTACTATTACAGTTTTATTCTTTTGGACATAAAACACTCATTCACCCCCTTTTCTCACAATTTACACATTACTGGATTTGAATGATTTAGAGAACAAAACTCATCAGCAAATTGGACTAAACTCTCTTTCTGTCACTCTATATATACAATGCTAAATGAATTTAGTGTAGGTTTCTTGCGCCTTTCCCCAAAAATCTCTTCTTTTTATCTAAAATCCTTTACGATGTTGGTTATTCAACATCCAACATCTCTGTGTCAGTAGATTTACCTAAGCTACAGCTGAGATGCCGCAGTTGCCGCGACAATTGAAGCCTTCAATCCTCACAGGAGCTTGCTTGTTCCCAAACTTCACTCGAACACAGCCTCCTCCGCTCATGATGGTGGAGGAGGAGGGTGGTGGTGGTGAGGGTGCCACTGCTCTTTCTGGGATTGGCAGTATGGGAACAAAATTGTGGTTGCCAAATTGGGCATCTTGGATCAGGGGATTCCCAGCCCTACTGGGTGGAGATCCATAAAAGAACGGTGGAGATGAATCGACCTCAAAATTGGCTCTATCAACTTCATAGCTCCCCTGTTCATAGAAAAATCACAACTTGTCAACTACCAGCAAGTAAAAAAGTTGATAACTTCAACAAATTAGATTATCCAGAAACAAATCAACTATATTTTTTCAAAACACTGTTTAAAATGCCTTAAATTTTCAAATTAACTAGTATAAAAACTTCTTATAAAGCAGAACATTAGAGATTAGGTTTTTCTTTTTAATTAACAAAAATTCACCAAAAGAGTTAAAATTAAGTAGATCTACTTGAAACCCACTTCCAAAATGAAGTAAAAGATTAGATTTTTCTTTTTAATTAACAAAAATTCACCTTTGTGAGGATGGTATCCAGCAGCTCAGCTCCAGCTTTCAACTCACAAGCCTCCATTTCTTCATTTCTAAAAATCCAAAACAAAAAACACCAAATAAGCAAGAGACAGAAAGAAGAAGAAAAAAGAGATAAATTGAATGTTGGTTAGAAAAGGGGCATACATAAATTGCATCAGTTGATAAGGTCTGATGGGTTCTTCAACATGAACAGAGTAAGAATCGAAGAACCCAAGCTTACGGGGCTTGGGACAAACGACACCGTTAGACACAGAAATGTCTGCTCTCCCTGTTTCTCCAACTCCAACACAACCCACCAAGGCCTTCTGTTGATAAGCATACATATTCATCTTCTTTTTTCACGTTCACAACAGATCCAAAGCCTGAAAATCAAGAAAATGATTATAAAAACTTAAGATCTTTACTTCCATATCCATAAATATATATATACATATATACATATATATATATATATATATTTGAAATTACTATATATAAACATAGAATAAAAAAAGGAGATGGGTAGATGAGGAAGAAGGAGGTGGGGGGCGTTACCTGGTGGGCTAACAAGTGGATGCCTGTGGAGGGGAGAGAGAGAGATTTGTGGGGAGAGTGAGGCGGAGAGAAAAAGAGAGGGGAGAATTGAGATTGGGGCAGACTATTCATAGGAGAGAAGAGAGAGAAAGAGTTTAGGAGAGAGAAACTAATTACTATTTATTTATTAATTAAAATAAATAAAATATCACGCCAATTACCGTGTCATACTGACGTGTATTTGCTTAATTTTATACAAGTTTGATACTTATTTTGTATGTATTCAAAGTTAGAGGGCACAAACAGCATCTAAAATCTGGTCAAAGATCATGTTTATGTATTATGCTTTTTGCATTGACGATCTTTCACACTTTGCAAGGATGGTTAGTAGGAATCATCATGTCATACTGACGTGTACTTGTTTAACTTTGTATGATTGGTTTGATACTTATTTTGTACGTATTCGAAGTTTAAGGACATAAGTATCATCTAAGATCTAGTCAAAGATCATGTTTATGTATTATGCTTTTTTGCATTGACGGTCTTTACTTTATAAGGATGGTTGTTAATAATCATCATATCATACTGACGTGTACATTTTTAACTTTGTATAATTAGTTTGATACTTATTCAGTACAAATACAAAGTTAGAGAATATAAATATCATTTAAGATTTGGTCAAAGATCATGTTTATGTATTATGGTTTTTTGCATTGACGACCTTTCACACATTGTAAGATGGTTACTAGGAATCATCATGTTATACTGATGTGTACTTGTTTAACTTTGTATAATTGATTTAATACTTATTTATACGTATTTGAAGTTAAAGGACATAAGTATCATCTAAGATCTAGTCAAAGATCATGCTTTTTGGCATTGACGGTTTTTACTTTATAAGGATGGTTGTTAATAATCATCATATCATACTGACGTGTACATTTTTAACTTTGTATAATTAGTTTGATACTTATTCAGTACAAATACAAAGTTAGAGAATATAAATATCATTTAAGATCTGGTCAAAGATCATGTTTATGTATTATGGTTTTTTGCATTGACGACCTTTCACACATTGTAAATATGGTTACAAGGAATCATCATGTCATGCTGACGTGTACTTGTTTAACTTTGTATAATTGGTTTAATACTTATTTTGTACGTATTTGAAGTTAAAAGGACATAAGTATCATCTAAGATCTAGTCAAAGATCATGCTTTTTGGCATTGACGGTCTTTAATTTGTAAGGATGGTAATTAGTATTCATCATATCATACTGACGTGTACATTTTTAACTTTGTATAATTAGTTTGATACTTATTTTGTACAAATTCAAAGTTAGAGGACATAAATGTCATTTAAGATCTGTTCAAAGATTGTGTTTGTATATTATGTTTTTTTGCATTGACGATGTTTCACATTTTGTAAGAATGGTTAAAAAACATTTATTATATTGACGTATAGTTGTTCAACTTTATATATGTTTGATACATATTTAATACATATTCGAAGTTAGAGGGCATGAATACCATTTAAGATCTGGTCAAAAATCATGTTTATGAATTATATTTTTTTTTCATTGACGACCTTTCACACTTTATAAAGATGGTTATTATGAATCATCATATCATATTGATGTGTACTTGTTTAACTTGATATAAGTTTGATATTTATTTGTTCATATTCAAAGTTAAAGGACATAAATAATATCTAAGATCTAGTCAAGATCATGTTTATGTATTATGCTTTTTGCATATATATATATATATATATATATATATATATATAAAAGATAAAATCTTTTTTTAAAAAAAAAATAGTTGCAATTTCATGAGCAGATTTTATTTTATTTTTTCAAAAGAAAAAAAAAACATATTTGCCTCTTTCCGTATAAACACTCACATAATTCATGACAAGAAAAAAAGGTTAATGAGACGCGGTTAGCCATCTACCGTAGTTTAATGGTTCAGCCTCCTAATTTACTATTCCCTAAAGTTTATTTATTGTTCTCTATTTTTATATTAATTGATGATAATCTTTTAAAAATTCTTAAGGTGATCAATTAATATGTGACAATTATAATTAATATAATGATCAATTAATAGGAGAGTAAGAGAGTATACATGGTTCTAAATAGTACTTCCTTCACTCAATTTTACTTGTTACTTATTTTTAAAATATATTTTTATTTTTAATTGTCACTTTCAACAATAATTTCTTTTCATATTTTACCTTCAAAGTTAAGTACTTATTTTCCTAATCATTTTTCAAGATATCATCATTTAATAGGGAATAGTTTGATAAAATATTTATATCAATAGTTATTTTTTAATTAAAATACCTAATCAACCAGTGACAAGTAATTAACCTTATATAACAACAATAGCATATTTATTCAAATCCCATAGAAGTTTTGAAAGGATAGAGTGTATGCAGATATCACTATCTACTGAAGGTAAAAAAATTATTTTCGAAAGATCATCTACTTAAGTGCATCAATCCAAGTATACAACAACAACATATCTAGCTAAATATCACTTAGCAGTGTGAAAGGATAAAATATATGTAAATCATATCATAATTACCTCGTGAAAGTGGTGAGATTACTCTCAAAAGACTCTTAGCTCAAGTGCATCAAACTTAAGAAAACAATAAAAAAAAATTTAAGAAAAAAAACAATGTAAAATCAATTAAAAAAAACAATAACAATAACAAATAATTAAAAAAAACAACGAATATATGACAAAACTACAAGTACATAATTTAGCACTACAATTGGACTATAGATTTAACCTTCAACAGGTTCAAAATGGGGTGGAAAACGTTTACAACCTTCGACTTTATTTTATGACTAGCCTAGTCACCACTCTCATCTACTTCACAATAATGGGAGTGCGGAATACAAGAACATTAAAGAGGAGCATTTGATTTTCCAACATTTGAACATGAACTGCAGAGACCAATTAACCATGAGGATTAAATGGGAGGCTATGGTGAATTCTTGGGAGTCCAAATCTCATGATATTTAAGTTCAAATATTCTCTCCGTTTAAGAAAAAATTATCTAATTTAACTTGACACGATAATATAAGAAAAAAAAGTTTTAAAAGAAGAATTTTAATCTTATGATCCTGAATTAAGATTAAGTCAAACACACTAAAATATCATTTAATTTTATGGTTTTAAACATGTTATTTGAAAAACTAAAATTAAAGTGTTGTCATAATAGAAAAGTAGAGTCCCAAGCCTAATAGGTAAAAAATATTGAAAAAAATTCCAAAAGGATAATATGAAAAAAAATTTAAAATCAAAACGGTAAAATCGCTGGTACTGTAGCGATTTAGGTGGGTGGCGTTAAGAAAAATCGCTGCAAAGCAGCAATTTGCAAATGATTTTTTTTTAAAAAAAATTGTAACTCACTGCCTGTGCAGCGATTTTACTTATTATTATTTTTTTAATTTTGAAGTAAATCGCCTTCGTAGCGATTTAACTTAATTTTTTTAAAAAAAAATTGAAGTAAATCGCTGCCTTGGGCAGCAATATCACCTATTTAATTTTTTTTAATTTTTTTGTTGTAAATAAATTATAATTAGCCAAAAAAAATCACATTGTCAAACTTCCAAATTCACATTTCACGTCCAGACATAAATATTAACATGCATGTGAAATTTTTTTGTACAAATTTAACGTGTTAATTTACTTCAAAATTTAAAAAAATAAATAAAATTAAGTGAAATCGCTGCCATGGTAGCGATTTACTTCAAAAAAAAATTTTTTTTAATAAAAAAGTAAAATCGCTGCCAAGGCAGCAATTTACTTCAAAAAAAGTAAAATTAAGTAAAATCGTTGCATAGGCAGCGATTTATAATTTTAAAAAAAATCATTTACCAAATCGCTGCCTTGGCAACGACGATTTGTTAAAAAAAAATTTAAAAAATTAATTTTACAAATCGCTGCTACTGCAGCGATTTACCTTAACGGCACCACCTAAATCGCTACATCACCAGCGATTTTATCGTTTTGGTTTAAAAGTTTTTTCATTTATCCTTTTGAAATTTTTGTCAATATTTTTTACCCTTTAGATCCGGGACTTCAGAAAAGTAGGTCATTCTTTTTTTAACGAAGAAAACATGTCGTTTCTTGGAAAGCGGAATTACATTTCTCCAAGCGTAATAAATTTTGTTATCGATGGGAAGCAAGAAAGAAATAAACACCTTTCGTCTAAGAATAACACTATATAAACCGCTAGGCTATAAGCGATATTATTCATTATTCTTAGCTAGAACACACACAAAATTAATTAGCAAAGAGTTGAAAATATTAGTGAAGATGAACAAGTTATCAGTGTTTTGCATGTTAATGTTGGTGACATTAGCAATGTGTACTATAGAAGACGATGTAAAAGATTGTGCAGATCAACTTGGAGATTTGGCATCATGTATACCATATGTTAGTGGCACAGCAAAAATGCCAACACCAGAATGTTGTGAAGATACTCAGAAATTAAAAGCTGCTAAGCCAAAATGTCTCTGTGTTCTCATTAAAGAGAGCACTGATCCATCTTTAGGCTTACCGATTAACACTACTCTGGCTCTTCAAATGCCAGCTGCTTGCAAAATTGATGCTAAAGTCTCTGATTGCCCATGTAAATAACCTTTTTTTTCTACGCTGTTTGGTCAAACTTCTAAAATTAACTTAGTTTTGATGTACTTATTTGTGTTTAATTGCAGCATTACTGAAGATTCCAGCAGATTCACCAGATGCAAAGATTTTTAAAATAACTGATTCAGCTTCTACCACAACCGGTACCTCATCATCCCCTGCTTCTTCTACTTCAGAAACAAAGAGTACTACTTCAGATACAAAGAGTACTACTCCAACAAGCACCAATGGAGTTGCAAAGCAGATCAGCAACAACATTATACTGACTATGGCACTTACAGTAATTGCATTGATCTTTATTTAGAATAATTTGAGCAAGGCTGATTAATTATGGAAAGTGGAAACTAGCTAAGGATCATCACTACTGTTAGTTTGGTTTCTTAGTTTTAACTTGTTTCACTCTTAGGTCCAAATAAAATATCAATTTGCAATAATACTTGTTTGATTAATGCTTGATTTTTATTCAATGGAAGTTGATAAATTTTGTTATTGCTACTGTATTCTGAATGTTACGTTA